AGTTCAAGAGGGATAGAAAAGCTTTGAGGAACTCTATTCTATGTGAGGAGTGATTTAATGATGGTTTTTGTATCCACAGCTCCATACCTTTTGGTTTTTGGTACATCTGTCTCACAGGTTGAGATCTTGCCAGATCCTTTTCTGATGCAAGTGGAATTTTTTTAATTTTAATTATTTTTTTTTCTAGCAGGGGCTGCTCCAAGGTACTTCTGCACCTACTATGATGTTGTTGAGTACCTGAACATTTCCTCTCACAGCAAGCTGCATGCACACATACTGCCCAAGACAAACTCAAAGGAGCCTGTGGAAGTGAAGATGGATTTTATGCTGGTGGCAATTCTCTCTGTGGTAAGGACCCAAAACTCCTTTATAACAGAAAGCGAGGGGATTGCTAGACTGGGGTCTGAGTCTTCTCCCAGGCAGGACCAGCTAAACCACGGAGATGAGAATCAGCCCCTTCCACTTCTTCAGATTTCTGCTGTTTGAGAACATTTTGGGAAGATCTGGAGTATTTTTTCCCAGCTACTCCCAGGAAAAAAAGCTCAGAGGCAGCCACAGACAAACAGTCTGCTTTGTGCCAGGCTCTATAAACAGCCTGCGAGGTGCCTGAGCTGAGCAATGTGTTCACAGGGCTCTGGCACATAAATGTTAACAATAATCTCTTTTTCTTTTTCTTTTCCTTTTTCTTTTCCTTTTTCTTTTTCTTTTTTTTTCCCCAACCCATTGAACTGCCTGTTCCCCCTCTTCAGCTGTAGGACCAAGATCACTGAGCTCTCCTCCTGAGCTGAGTTTTTGCAACCTGTGCTGTCGCTCTAAGAACAACAGGGGAGAGCTTCTGGGCTCTGCATTGGATTTACCTAAGAAAATCAGCTAAATATTACCTTCCCTTTTGTTTCTCCAGGTCGAAAAGCTTCAGACGGTCTCTTTTTACTTCTTGTTGAACCTGGTAGGTCCCTCGAGAGCGTTTCTCTGCTGTGATGCCCAGCATGATGGCTGATTCCGAGCTCGGCACTCACTTACCTCCTTCAACTTCTTCCCCCAGGAGTGGAAAAACACTTTTGCAACTTGGGACCCGCAGGATTTCTGTAACATTTCCAAAGTCATTCTGCCCATGGATACGTATTGGTCTCCTCCCATCTTCATTTTAGAGCGGTAGGTTCCTGTTTCATTTTTATCCACTGGCTTAAGAGAAATACAACAAATGTAAACTGTTGATGTTGCTGTAGGAAATGGGATAAACTCATAATGTTAAAGGTTGTTTCTGTGAGCTTTCTGTGACCAAGAGCCTTGTAATTTCGATTAATGGTGACCACAGTTTATACAAAGCACTTTGTGGCTCTGTAATACTGCAACATCTCCAGAAATGTCCCATCTGGGATGTCATTAAAGAGGAGGACGCAGCAGAGACCAGCAATGTGGTGGAAGGAAGTGACCCTTGGCAGTTTGGTGTAAGATACAGGACAGAGCTCTGTGCTCTGACAGAGGAACGGGCACCACCGCTTGCTCTTTGGCTGGGGGGGAGGAGGAGAAGGCAGTTCTGCAAGGGAGAGGAGCTCTTCCCAGGGGAGAGTGAGAAGTGGAGGAAGGAGTTTCCTTAGGAGCTGCAGAGCTACTACAAACCTTAGTCCAGAGGCACTTACCAGCTCTTCTTCAAGCCCCAGGTTTCCTCTCCTCACTGCTACATCCCGTGGCTGGGTGACAGCACAGAGCCTCCCCCAAAGGGACACTTCCAGCCCCAGCTTTTGTGGGATGGAGGAACATTGCAGTGTCTTGGAGCTCAGTCACTCTCACTCTTGTTTCCTCCAGAGTGAACGGACAAAACTCAAATTTGGATTACATGGCCGTCATGCACAACGGCAGCTTCAACTCCACCCAGCCCTTCCAGGTCACCTTAACCTGCAGCTTGATGATCTTCAAGTTTCCCTTCGACACCCAGATGTGCAACTTGAGCATAGCTTCATTTCTCTACCCAGGTACGGTGGCAAGCTGAGTTTTACCACAGCTGGGCTAAATTTGCAGGAGGAGGAATAGATGGGATGGATCCTGACTAACTCCTGGGTTCCCTCAGCAGCACCACATGTTCACACTGGGTTAGTGGGGTTGAGGTTATACAACGCCAGGGAAAATGAGCTAAAACACTGTCATTCTGTTTTGGCACATTTCCCAGCAACATCTCTGGAAGCATCTGGATGTTTTATGGCAATTTCTCTCCCCCTTGGGATTGATCTCCTCTACAAACCAAGAGATCAGGAGGTTTCCTGCAACAAGGCTACTTGTTCACATACAGTTTTGCAGGACTGATCTTTAAACATATCCAAAAGGTATGGAAAAGAGGGGAAATTAAGGAAAATTTAAGGGATCCAAACTGCAGTCAAAGTTCATCCCAAGAGGAAAGCAGAGGCAACAAGAAACCCTCCAGCTCCCTTCTGCAAAGACAACTATCCTGATCCCCCAGAGATTTCTCCTCTGATCCGCATTGCCAGAGGTCCAGTCAAGTCTCTTCACCAAAGTCCTTTTTAATTTCTCCCTGATGGGCTAAAAAACTCCACTAGTGTGAGAAATGTTGCCTTTCCCCACCTGCACACACCCTTGGTTGGGAGGGAAAGGGAGAGGAAATAACTGATCTCTAATAAATGCCTAAATTCTGCGACTTCTCTCGTCTTCTCTCTCCTGCCAAAGCAGTAACAGACCTTGTCATGAAGACAAGACGGACACCAGCTGAGATGATGAAAGACAGTCAGAGTTACTTCCTAACTGATGGAGAATGGAAGTTCACCAACCTGAGCATCATTGAATACACAGAAGAGCTGGATGACCAAGAATTTTCTGTGATCACCTACGTGGTATGGCAGTACCTTCATATTTTATCACACTGGTTTGCCACCAAAAAAAAAACCAAACAATTAAATAAGATAATTTTATATATTAGAGAATAAGCATTTGCCCAACACAGTAAGTTTTCTCCTGCTCACCTAATTTTTGTCCATCTTCTTCAACAGATTTCTATGGAGAGACGACCCACTCTGTATATTTTGAACCTGATCCTCCCAACGTGTGCCCTGTATCTGCTGGATATGGCTGTGTTGTTTGGACCCAGCTCTCTTGAGGAGAAAATCAGTTTCCAGATTGCCATCATCCTCGGCAGCTCCATGTTAGCTGTGATCCTCAACAACATCCTCCCAACTTCCTCCAACAAACCACCCGTAATAGGTACCCCTCTTTATTGAATATAAACCAAGTGATTTTTACGCAGGTAACAACTCTTAAGGGAGGTCTTTGGGTATTTGTGGACACATTCATGAACACTGAAGGCACAAACTAAGCTTTATCAGCTTGCTGGGATCAGAATTTTCCCCTCTTGCCCACCAGGCAACTGAACACAGATAGAATTGGAGATTCAAGAAAATGGTGGCAATTACCAAGGGCTTTCTTTGTTTTCATATTGTTCTGCAGTGGTGTTCTTCTTAGGCACCTTCCTGCTCATGATCATGGCTGTGTTAGACACCTTCTTCCTGTTGCACCAGCAGCACAAATCCCTACGCCTCGACAAGATTCTCAGAAGATTCCAGCACGGTAAATCAACCCAATCACCTCTTAAAACAAGTGAGTTTGGTGCAGTTTACTGCAAGTTCCTTTGAGGGAGGGTGGGTTTCCTCAGGGCAACCAGTGCCCCAGGCAGTACGAGCCGTGGTAGCCACCCACCAGCCCCTCTCTACCAACATGTGCTATGTGCTCTTTGCAGACACACACGCCGAGCTGGCGCAGAGAGCCATGAACAACCCAACCACAAAACACCTCACCAAGGAAGGTGCCCAACTGCTGAACATCCCCAAGAAGGTCCCAGAAAAAGGGAAGCCGGCCAGGTCCCAGTGGCAGCCGCAGGAGCAGGACCCATTTCTGCCAGTTCTGGAGAAGGTGCTTCTCTACAGTCACTTCTTCCTCTCCCTGTTTTTTTTTACTATTATTTCTATAAAATGGAGCAGCTAGAGACCAGCTCTGTGCAGTGCACGTTGAGTTGTTCTCCATTGTATTGCTTCTAACCCCTTCACTGTAAGTTTTTTTTCCTGCTTGATTCACAGAGCTGCAGTTGTTTCAGTTGCCTAAATAAAATAAAATTTTAAAAGAAAAAAACCAAATTCACAGGGCACGAGATCTGCATGCTTAACACTTTGTACTCTAGTTCACTAGAACTACATAGGTTCTTAAAGTATTCTGTGGGCCAGAGAGGTATTTGAGTGAAACAACTGTGAAATCTGGGGATGATACCTTCACTGTATCCATCTATAATTCTTAGCACAAATACGACCAACAGCAAAGGGAGTTCATACCCTTCTTCCCTTACAGAGATGTTTCCATTTTAGGGAAAGGTCTTTAAAAATTCCATCTCAGGTAATTAAATAAAACTATACAAGGCTGAAGTGTTGGTACTATTGTTTCTGTGAGATCTGCATCATTTACAAACCCAGGACAGAGAGAATGATAGGATGAGCAGGATTAAAGGGGTGATACTTGAGATGTTCTAAATTTTTTTTTTAAATACATTAAAAAAAATAAAATAGGTGGGTGCACACTCTTTCAACTTCTTTTGCAATTGGCTGCACCTAAACTATCACAACCAACCTAGAAAACAGCTCTAGACCTCTGCCTGTAGAACTCCTGAGACATATCCCCCACTGCATTGCAGATCACTACTAAACACACTCCAGCACCTCAAAAAACTTTATATGTTCAACTTCTAAGCAATTCCTTGCCTGCAACAGCAGATGAACTGCATTCCCTGCACCATGGGGTTACACAGATGAACAGATGGTTAATTTTCATTATGGAAGATGCAATAGGACTCAGTTTGATCAACAAGTCTAGCTGGGATCCTGGTCCTTGCTATAAAAACAAGCTCACAGGTAGAAAAGACAAACTCCAGGAAAAAATGGGCTTTTTGCAAGTTAATATATTGTTCCACATCTCTCAAAAACCTTGCAACCTCGTGTCTAAGATCTCAACCACAGACAGGAGGGAAAGCATTTTATTTAAAAGCTCATAGAGTCTGCCAGTCGTTAGACAAACTGCTTCCAGACAAGTTTACAGATCAGCAATCGGTTTGTGGGGCCAGTACGGATATTTCTCCTTGTCCAGTCTGGTTTCAGGGAAGGCTTCATGCAAGTCTTCAAATGTCATCTGTTCAAAGGGAATCATGCTTCTCAGCTTCTGAAGCTTGAAGTGGAAGCAGAAACAAACACGTTACACGTCACTTGTCAGCAAGAAAGAGCAAAGCACACACAGGTAAGAACAAGGTGTGTGCCAGGCTGGGTTAAAGAGAACATTCACTAAGCAAAGTCCAGACTTACTTGTTGCTCATACTGGGCAATACGGGCTTTGGAAGCCTGCACGTACTCAGCAGTGCTCTTTGCCTGCAGGAAAGGAGAGGACGTGGTGAACATGGTTATGATAAAGACAGTGACCTAGAGTGAATCTGCAACCCCACACTTTGAGCTGCCATTAAAATTCAGCACCATTACACTAGATAAGCAGACAGAATCTTGATCAAATCCCAAAGAACCAAACTCTTCCATGTGCAGAGATTCTCTTGCTTAGCTAAAAACCAGAGATGTATGAAGACCAGAGCCATGCTTTGGCTCAGGCTGCCCTGCCTGTGCAGAGGCACGTGCAGAACATCCCGTCCCATCCCATCCAACCCCAGCATTAGGGAACAGTTTAAACACTTACAGCTTCCTGCTCTTGGGCATTAATCTTGGCAGTTTGTGTATCCACTGGCTCGGGAACCTTTAGAGCACTGAACTGCAAATTAAAAGAGAAAATACTTTACATGTTTTGTTTGATTGAAATAATTCCTCACACCAAGGTTATTTCTCCAGCAGCAAGGGAGCATTCCCTCCTTTCTCCCTAGGAAATGCTCACACTGTAAAAGTTAACAAGCTTCCTAAAGCTGGACTGTGTCCTTCACAAGCAGCACAGCTCACCTGGGAGCTTAAAGCAATGTATTCTGCACTGCACACCACCACCACGACACGTCACACTACACACACTCATCACAGCACTGGAGAGAGCAAAGCACAGCATCGTAAGGAAGCAAGGAAGTCTAATACCAAAGACTTATGATATCACAGACTTATTTCCCGCAGGACAAAGTTCCCAGATCCAGCTGAGGTCAGTGGATCCTCCCAGCCTCGGGAGGTCAATTTTCACAGTGACACCCTTCAGCAAAAGCCTCGCTGGTGCTTTTCAACTCCTGCTCATCAAGAGGATGGCAACCCCGGCAGGGATCCGCTAGCGTTACACGTTTCACAGCCTGCAGAGCCTCCTGCCATTCAGTGAGTCAGAGAAATGCTTGGACCGTTCGCTTCAGGAGAGTCGGTACCTGAATACACTCCTGCAGCCAAAATACTTAACCAAGTTTTCTTTCACCAGCTTTCTCACTGTACAGTGCCACAGGTCTCCTCCTAAAAAACAGCACTGAAGTGACACCTCCATGAGGCAACTGATCTGCAGGACGTAAAGCTGGAGCCCCCGCCAGCCAAAACCAACCTCGTCTGCCAATTCTGCTGTTTTCCTCTCAACACCAAAGACATTCCCCATTGAAACCTCCAAAGAGCAAAACCCAGCTGACAAAAAGACTGACCTTCTTCTGAAACTCATCCACCATGCCAGCTTTAGCAACAGCAGTCTTGTAGTAAGCCCAGTCGATGGCCGGGGGTTTCTCTGGCAGGGCAGCCAACCTAAAGAGAGGGAGGACAGCAGTCACCACCAGCAAGAGAAGTAACCTTGAGCTGTCACACGTTCTCTGCCACAGTTACTTTCCAGAATGTTGAGAGAGCCTGCTAAAGTTTAGTCTAAAAATTTTCAGGTCTGTTATTAACAAGCAGTGATGAACCATTTCTACAAATCATTCTGCCCTTGAAACATACTTCTCTGTACAGACAAGAAGAGTTCAGCCCGCAGCCCTGCTCCACTTCAAACTAGTGTATGGCACCTCTGGGTGCAGCCCTGTGAGAAAGGAGCTGGCAGCTTTCACAACACTGATGCAGAAGCAATCAGCAATATTAACTGCAACAGCCAACAACATTTGGATCAAGTGGGGATGCTGAAGGATTTGAGAAGACTCATGAATTTGTGCAGCATTTAACAGAGTAACAGAGCTTGCAAAATGTTTTTAATACACCAAAGCAAACTACTTTCTTCTTCGTTAATGTTTAAGCTTAAATAACCTGACAAAAAGTAATTTTTACTAAAAGTATAAGGGCATTAGTTACTTAAGTATTTAATTTTGTTCCACAGCCTAATCATAGAATGGTTTGGGTTGGAAGGGACCTTAAAGCTCATCCAGTTCCAACCCCCCTGCCATCAGCAGGGACACCTTCCACTAGACCAGGTTGCTCAAAGCCTCATCCAGCCTGGCCTTGAACACTTCCAGGGAGGAGCAGCCACAGCTTCTCTGGGCAACCTGGGCCAGTGTCTCACCACCCTCACAGTGAAGAGCTTCTTCCTAATATCTAATCTAAACCTCCCCTCTTTCAGCTTAAACCCATTTCCCCTTGTTCTGTCACTAACTGCCCTTATAAAAAGTCCCTCCCCAGCTTTCTTGTAGCCCCTTCAGGTACGGGGAGGCCGCTAAAAGGTCTCCCTGGAGCCTTCTCTTCTCCAGGCTGAACAGCCCCAACTCTCTCAGCCTGTCCTCACAGCAGAGCTGCTCCAGCCCTCAAATGTCCTCTTTAGTCTGGAAACTGGTGCTAGAATGCAACAAGATAAATGAATTTATGTTATTTCGTGGGAATTCTCTAAACAGAAGAGGTGTGTGTGGTTCCTGGAGCAGGACATACACATCGGTTACTACACGGAGCTTCGCCCTGCGCTCGCTTCAGCTCCAGGGCTGCACTCACCGGGCCGACAGCCCGTCGCTGCGGGTCTTCAGAGCGTTGAACATGGCTCTCTGGTTGGCGGGCACCCGCTCGGCAAAGGCCGCCCAGTCGATGGCCTT